CTATTGTGGAACAAACGTTTTTCGGAGATTGCCGATTGTCATGCATCAGTAAAAAGAATTCGAGGCGTTCCGCTACCTTGGCTGACCAACAAAATCAATGAAGCCATGAAAGATCGTGAGTTTTACCATCGTAAAGTTGTTAAAACCAATTCTGCTTCTCATCTGGGCTAGCTATAGGAGACTTAGAAATTTGGTCTACCGCGATGTAAAATCCGCTAAAGCGAAGTACTTTGTTGATCTTATTAATGATACAAAAGGGGACTCGAGTAAGTTATGGAAAGCTATTGATATCCTGTCTTTTCTCAATTTTCAGTTAGTCCGACTTCACGCTCCAAGAGCGTCTAGTTAGTCGGACTAGCCGAAGGCCAGGTCGACTTGAGTTTTACCTTTTAGCCAATCAAACTATCTAAGCRTGCTATCTATCTATCTGTGTATTTTGTCGCGTTTGGACCACCGGAAGTTAAGAATTGAACTAGACGCTCTTGGAGCGTGAAGTCGGACTAGCTATTTTTGAATGTATATTATTATGGCGTAGAATATTATATTTTTTACTTCTAATACATAGTGAAAKCAAGAATGCGTTACCGTTTATTCACACGATACGATATTCTTTTTGACTGCTCTCTGCAACGACTTCAAAACGATAGAAATCTAAATTTTGCCCTAAAAGGTCATGTAATTAATACCTGGTAGCCATACTAGATGWCGCTAAGTGATATCATGGATAATAAAAGCATGGTGATATCATATCTAATACGTTTTTAATTCAAATTGTTGACCTCTCAGGCCAAGAAAATGAAATACTTTTTAAAAAAAAAGATGCTTATAAAATAATCAAAGTAGCCTTTTTGTTATTGATAAACAAAGTTTCTTCTTGTTCTAATTTGAAATCTTTGCCCAAACAAGACTGTCTAGCGCTAGAATTCAGTTCCGTAAGCATACTACTCGAAGCTCCATGAGATCCGCACATGCGCNCGGGAGCCGTTCTGTGGAATGGTCTGACTTGCGATATGAGAACAGCGAGGTCGCTGGCTGATTTTAAAAAGCAACTAAATGGATTCTTCTTATAAATCCTGTGCACACCCACGGCAAACTTGAAAAACAGTATTGACAAATACTTGTAAAATTTTTATTTTTACTTTTAATGTCATGTAGCTGAAGTTTTAACCGTGGTTAAATAAAGGTATACCATACCATACCATTTGAAATCTTTGCCCAAACAAGACTGTCTAGCGCTAGAATTCAGTTCCGTAAGCATACTACTCGAAGCTCCATGAGATCCGCACATGCGCGTACTTCTGATGCCTAGACTGATGCATTCCGATGAGATCACAGATTGCGTTTTTCATGGGTACCCATGAAAAACGCATCGCACGGCAAAAAGAACCACAAATCCACATTCAGAAAGCATTAAAGTTTATTTCTGAACTAAAAAACCAGAATATAACCCCCCAAAATAACCAAAATATCGATGTTGAAAATGGCCTAAATTTGAAGAGATTTCGACGGCTTTCGGCCGATAATCATCATAGGAGACCTGGAGCCGACTCGATAGTTTGGTAAGCCTGTGGTCAGATGTACGAAACTTCGGAACCGTTTCATTTTTGTCTGGTCGAGACGTTACCTAGTCTTGTCTGTTGTTTGTAACGAGGTGTATTGATAAATGTCTGCAAAGGTGAGTTGAATGAATCTCAGTGAAGGCATCGAAAATTATAAGAAGTAAATTGCTTACGGCCGTATTTCATAAAATCAAAATAATGCTCAATCGATACAACCGTAAGTATGTAAGTGGCACGCTCGACCAAAYATGGAGATAGTGTGTTTTTTTCCCGCGAATAGTCAACTTTAGATATTTTGGTTCGATGACTATGTACAAAAGAACGCACACGAGGCTCCGGGGAAACAATGGATAAYCTTGATTTATTCTTTTATTTCCCCGGAGCCTCGTCTGCAATTCTTTTGTGCATGGTCACTGAACCAAAATATCTAAAGTCGACTATTACAGCAGTTTTCGTATATTGCAATTAACCCTGGTTTTCACTAAGAAATAAGCACAGACAAAAGCAAAAARACAAAGGAACCGACAGAGGATTGAAGTCAAACGTGCGGCGCGTAGCAAGTAAAGCATAACCCCGCAAAACCCTTACGGATGCTCCGGGAGTCTCAAGATCGTATAAACTCCCTGTCTCAAGAACGTGAAATCTCCCGGTTCTGCGGAAAAATATCGCAATTCTCTTGTTTTCAAGTATATTTACCAAAAATTGGGACCTGATTTGCTTTGTCGGACCTCAGGAAAATTGTAAGCAAAATGGCGAATTTCTCGATATGCATGCCCACGCGGCCCGGGGTTGACACAGATAGTCCTGAAGGCAGTCAAGGAACAAACAAAGAAAAACACCTTTTTCAYACCTTCTTATCCCAAAWGCTATTGTTTTTCACCCCTTTAAGGCTTTAATTAGCACAGATCACGGCAATTATTGTTATAAGTTATTGATTCTAGTCAATTGCATCACACCTTGGAAACAATAATTGATTAAAAGCATTGTGTTACAAGCTAATAACTATTAATTAAGACCACGCACTTAAATATGATATGGTAGCTGGTAAATAGTACATCATAGATTTTTTTCTATTTCATATTATTTTATTAATTTATACTATTTTGCTATGGCATATTTTTTACTTTTTTATGTAATGTATCATTTATCACATTGGTGATCAGAGTGATGATTTCTTAGATCTATTAAAGCAGTCASCCTGTGTTCAACAGTACCCATTTTTTTCCTATCATGTTTTCAGTAAATCAGAATCATAGAAGTGGTCACTGTGCATTTGAAGCCAATGCTGTTCCTGCTCAACCAAGCAGACATGATATATATATTGTCCTTGTTGTATAGATGTCCCAATTTGTAAACTCGTATTGTATTTCACCTTTATAAAGCAGTCACCCAGAAAACAGATATTACTTATTTCTATATTGTTCTTGCACAATCAAGCAAGACATGATATATTAAGTACAAAGCATCCGTTTCCGGTTGTTCGCTAACATATAGTTTATACTGTGTATAGATGTGCCAATTGTAATTATTAAGGCAGTCAGCCAGACAACTGACTGATTATTACTTGCCCAGGCTACACCAGAATGCTGATTTCATTACGATTCTTCAAGACCAAAAACAAGCCAAAAACTGTATGGAAGAGTCTACACACAATTTTTTTGCCAACATATATAATAAGTACAACAAGCAGTCAACCTCTCAGGGGTCTCAATAATAGTAGAGGTAGCTACGCTGCAGGTAGCAGCTATTTTAATCTTACTAGTTATTTCATATTGTAAATTGTTTGGGACATAGATGCCTATATTTTCAAATTCAACTTAATTAACTTGAAACAATTGTCTCATTCATGACTATAATTATATGAAGTCTCTGTCAATTTTAGCGTAGATTTTTGTTGTATTTTATTAGAAAGGAATTCTAGAGCGTCTTGATGCTGGTGAAGTCATCATTGGTGATGGTGGATTTACTTATGGACTTGAAAGACGTGGTTACGTCAAGGCAGGGCAATGGACACCAGAATGTGTCGTTGAGAATCCGGAAGCAGGCAAGATATTTTTTGTGGTAGTTTTTGAGTTTTCAAAATTGTAAGTGCCTTGGGGTGAGGAAGAAGGGGCTTTTAATTGATAGGTTATTTGGTGGGGTCAAGATACCCAAAATTCATTTAATGCAGTATCTCTTTTACTTCCTTTCCGTTTAAAATGTGGCAAATTTATTATTTTTTTTATTTTACTCATAGCTATAGATTTTTCAGGATCTTTTTTCCCCTTATTAGTTCGTCAGCTTCACCGTGACTTCCTCCGTGCTGGCGCTGACGTCATGCAGGCTTTCACATTCTCCATGCAGGATGACCCTATAGAGATTGATGGCCGACAAATAACGGTAAGTATTTCAACATCTTGCCTAGACTCTACAGAACAACTAAAGTTTTTCATGTTTGTGATTAAAGTGGGATGAGATCAATGAGGCAGCCTGTAAACTAGCAGTCGATGTGGCTAAAGATAACCCTTATGCAGTGTCATCGGGCTCCCTGTGTGAAACGGGCCTGGTGTTTCAGAGTGGTAAAGCATCAAAAACTGAAATTCAGCAGAAATTTCGACAGCAAGTTGATATCTTTGTGAAGCATGGTGTGGATTTACTGATTGCAGAGGTAAGAGTAACAAATGGATTAGTACAATGTACTACATTTACTGGTCTCTGACATCTAAAGTGAAACTTATTAACCCACTATATGTATTAATAACATAATATTTCAATAACAACTTAAAAATTAAACATTGCGTCATTGTGCTACCACTTATTTGTAATATTATTATAATATTTGGTGTAATAATGCATTTGCATTGGTCAAAAACTGTTTGTTTATTTTTATTCAATCTTCAAGCTCACTGTTGTTATTCAGAACCTGATAGTATGGGCTCTTCATTCAGCCATTTCAATGAAATTACACTTCTCTTGGAAAAATTTGGAGGAAAATTATTTAAAACAAATAGAATTTTTTATATGCTTCTATGTGCAGAAGCACACAGGGAAATKTAATCTATATTTAATATTAATAACATGAGAATAAAACAAACTTCCTATTGCATTTTTGGCGTCGCTGTATTTTATTGTTTTTTTGTTTTTTTGCTTTGTTTTTACATCTGAATTAAAAATGTAATCAAGAAGCCAGCTTTTTAGCTTAAAAAGGAGAACAATTTGAATGTCATTTCCAGTATATATCCCACGTCCAAGAAGCAGAATGGATGTTGGAGGTCATGAAGGACAGTGGTATYCCTGCTGCTGTTACCMTRGCGATAAGTAGTCAAGGTGACAGACATGGYATATTACCCGCTGAGTGTGCAATAAGGCTAGCTCGAGCAGGTATATGGGCCGGAGAAGTTAATAAACTATATCAATTTTATATCATTACAAGATT